TTGAAAGAAAAAAATAGACAGAACACTCTTTTGAGGAACAGAAAATATCAGCTGGAAATCAGCTGAACCACTGTGCCTCATTACTGCATGCATGGCGCTATGTTCCTATGGATTTTCACGCAAAAGACTTTGCCATTTATGATGTTGGCTTTTGTCACGCCTAACAAAGTCAACAGTCAATTAAAAACACGTTTCGATCGGAATTGGACGCAGAAATGTGAGGAGGAGAAGGAGAAATGATGTCAAAATAGGGTAGGCGCAATGAACAAGCGTTTTATGCATTGTAAATGGAACTAAAGCATTGTAAATAATTCTTGCACTTCATAGATAAAAAGGGAGAGAGAGCAGAGTTCATAAATTTTGAGAAAATTATGAAAGAACGAGCGATCGCCATGCTCAATTAGTATTATTCTGAGCGATAGGATAGTTATAAGTATGGAAAAAATCAATAATCAAAATTCTGTTGAGATTAACACAGCATTTCCAATGATTCAGTTCAATACCTAGCAAATTCCAGCAAAGAAGCTGGGCTATTCATCTACCAAACACCTTTGCTCTCCGAACAACTCAATCTTATGGCAAGAAAAAACTCGTCCGAAAATCTGGCCAGCCCACTAGCAAATGTTCCGAGCGGCTTTAGCATGAAACAAATCCCAAGACGATAGTTAATTCCTGACAAACGGTCAGTGCTTGAATGGGTAAGGGCAGATAAAGGTTTTTTCTGACCTCATTGCGCAAGATTGGACGAGTTTGCCGAGCAGAAATCACGGATGGAACGCAACTTCTATTCAGGGTTACCCAGGATGTTTCGATAATACTTGGGCCACCCACAATTAAGGGCTTAAAGGATGTGAAAGAATTGAGCAAATCGCTCTTTTTTCTACTGGAACCACTAGAAAAGGAACCGGAATGATTTACTTTGCGTGTGTGGAAGGATTCGCCATTCTGTGCATATTAATGGAGGCGAAACGAATTGGAATCCGGATTTAATATAATGAGGTTCCAAATAACAACAACGGAAACATGTGATTTCCATATTGACGATCATCAAGGAAACACATGAAAATCCTAGCAAAATGTTGCAAAACCCGGCTTTCAGGCCGAATTCCACAGTAAACAACTTGACAGAAAAGGCACATAGTGTACTTCAATGTTTCGCCGAGGGAAAAAAGCCATATTCACGAGAGACATTTCATAATGCTATTCATGCCTTTTTCAAGTGGGTTACGGTGGAATCCAGCCTTAAGAATCGGCCAGCAAAATTCTTTTTAAAAATTCAGAAATTTTCCGCTTCCCAATTCTACTCACCTTCGTCCTCAGACATAGTTTGTCGTGTCATTGCTGCAATGAAACTAGCTTGCCGTGGAGCGTTCCTAGGCGTTAGGGTACCATTTTCAAAGGAACTATCGGCAAGTGAAAATGTTGATGTTACGGCATCCGAGGTTTGTTGAATCTTCTGCAAAATGCATACCGTAAAAAGGTAACTAGGGTAAAATCAAGAGGTAAAGGATATACCTCTGGCATAGTACGTATAGCCTGTCGGTATGATTCTGGAGATGTCGCAGGATACATGTTGGCATAGGATTTCTCATATGGAGAGTTGCGCGAGTTCTGGAAAAAAATACATGCACAACAGATGAAAAACTCCCCAAAAAGAAGTATTTTTCAATTTCAGAGCATATGATGTAATCTCACACAAAATACAAATTCTGGAAGAGTATTACACACTTTCATGCTATTCACTTGAAAACGAGGTCAACACCATTCTGCTCAATAGCACATTGAATAGGATAACCAATCAATAAGGGTTGTTTCTGAATATAGGGTGGTGTGTGCAATTGCACTATGTGCGTGGAAAACCTTTGTGCTCAAAAAAACCGCAATAGTTAAATTGCTTAATGAAATTCCGCTTGGATACGTTCGTAAATCGCTAATCAGAAAAAGAAAATTGGATAAATTGCTACAAGAAAGACAAATTGTATTATAGAAGTTAATAGAAGAACTATCTCGGTCTTAAAAGTACACTCTACAACGCATATGGTGCAATTGCACGTCAGACGGTTAATGCAACGGTTCAGGCTCAGATACGACTTGCACTCCACAAATTTCACTTTCAACATTGTGTATTGTGTGCAACTACACCGTGAACACGGTGAAATGCACAACGGTGGAAATTTAAGCTCTTACCATCACTGTTGTTGGATTCACAGACCAACTTGACAACACCTTAGGTCGAGACATGGTAGCTGGCTCATTTTCCATGTTCCACGTAGATTGTGATGATCGCAAAAATAGTTGACTGAACCAAAATATCATTTTTTAATAAAAGAAGGTAGATTCGCAAAAAAATAGCACTCTATTGCATTTTACCCATATTATTGCACCAATATGCATTACATGCCTTACTCACAA